TATAATCCAGTTCTTCGCTTGCACGATGCGAGAAAACCTGTTAAACCGGTACTACAATAGACGAGTACAAATACCGCGTGATATTTGTACTCGTCTATGGCGTTATTTGTACTCGTCTAGGTGTAGTTGGATAATAAATGAAATTATTTTGTAATGAGCACCTGTTCAAATCAGTGTAACCCAACTGAACAGAGAAACTGAGAATTAAACCTTGCTCAAAGATTTTAGAACAAGTCGATCAGAGAATTTAATGTATGATGTCAAGGCTGTACAGGTCTAAATGGTTGAGACGAAAGATTTATTAGCTACGTTTCAAACTTGTATACTGTCATACGAACAGCGAAATCAACCTCTATTTCCCTTTCCTTTACTTTTCCATTGATCCTAATTGATTTGACAAACACATCTCCGATTCATGATAGATTCAAAAGCATCACGTACAGCTTACGAACGCATAGGCTCCAAATTTCCGGCTTTTTTTCTGTTGCGCTGAGAGTGAAGATAAAAGCCGAAAATTTCGTTTGCGATCCAATCAGATTAAACGCAGAAAATTCTCCAGTATTCATCTATTTATCTATGGGATTTTTAATATTTCAGTGAAAAACAAACCAGTTCAGGGCGAGGCCATATTTTCCACCATTGGTCTTCAAAATAACTCAAAAGGCTGATACAACAATTTATCTGAAAAATAAAAAGAATGAAAGAATACGAGGCTATACAACACTGAAAAAATGTGCCTAAGTTTAAGTCGTCTAAATCCATGAAATAAATAAATATTTACTCGTGCATATCTACTGGACAGGACAGACACCAATTTAATATCGATAATGTTAAAGAGAGTTTATCTCGTCAAAGATAAAGATAGCGCGAGATTTCCAAACTTAAAATGTTATATGACTTGGTCTTCCCAATAATCTTACAATAAGTTTTACCCGAATAAAAAATATGCCATTCTGTTTTATAGGGCAAAGCCATATGTTAAACTGATCTTCTCCAGCTCTTCTCACCATTTTTCCCTTCCATTCGCTAAGAATACAGGTGTTTGTTGCGATAGGTTTTCTACGCAAATTTACATATTGTCTATGAAACAGTCGCGAAACCTTAATTGGCACTGGTCATTTTTATCACCATTGGCAGTAATGTCACAATCTGATCAGCCAATTTTCCGTTGTCGAAAAGAGTACACACAACGCTGCTTGCGTCATCATGACACACAATGCCTTTATCGGCTCTCAAACATGGATGACTCGGAAAATTTGACGTCGATATCGTGGTGAAAAACAAATCGACAGTCCTCTGGCGTGGTGTGTACTCTTAGTATGATCGGCAACAATATTTGTGATCACAGCGGTCAAAATTTGTTGCGGACTCAAGAGTCTGCGCCTCGTGATTCCACAATATTTTACCACTGTGATGACGAATATCGTTGTCGATAAGACTGACAGACCTCGGTTACCGGGCTCAAAAACCAACAAAGCATTTATTTTCGTTTTGTATTTGTTAGTTTCACAGATGAAGCGGTTAGTATAACTCCCTGGCTCTTCCTCTCCCGTTGAGCAAAGGTCTTGGAATAAAAAAATGAAAGAATCTGCTCATACTAAAATGGTGAAGGGGGAAATAAATCATATGATTAGAAAAACATGGTTGAGAATTAACACGATATCGTACACTGAAGACACTTTTGCCTCATTTACATGTATCAGTGAGTCAATTGAATGTTTTGGTAAATATACCTCTCTTACCCGTGCAAGCTTTATTGTGAACAATCGAGGGTAATCATGTAAAACTGCCAGCTCAAAGGGGAAATCAAGTTATCGAGTCAACCAAAACCTTATACTCGCGGTAGTAGGAGTCAGCCGGTCAATTATTCGATTAAACTCTGAGACTTTACTTTTATGAACAAAGTATCAGTGAATACATTTTTCGTCGTAATTTGTTTACCTGGGGATATGAAATATTATACTGAACAGCGGGTCCGGTGTAGTTGCCACAGAAGCTTGCAAGGAAAGCAAAATTCTGCACAAAAAAAAAAGAAAAAGAATCTACTTTATGCCATGCTGATGAAAGAACAGTGCAGTCAATTAAAAGAACATGGAATTCTGTTACTTACGAAGTTTTGCATGTAGATAACAAGAATTACTTACATAACCATCCAGATTAAGATGTCCCTCTCGCACAAAAGGAGAAACAGATGATATTTGCGCAAATGCGACTAAGAAAGCAGGAAACTTAAAGGAGTAAACCATTACTTTTATACGCTCAAGACATGTCAAGAACAAACATACTTCGATCGTTATTTCATATGACACACTTCAGTAAAGCCTCAGAATGTAATTATTCGTAGGCTCCACAAATATGCAAATTTACAACACAGTTCACTGACAAAGATAGTTTTTAATTTTCTATTGACAGTTCAGATTGCAATGAGACTATCTTTAATGCGTCAAAATTAAATGTGTCAAAAAAGCTAGACTCATATAAATCTCACCTTAAAGTGAAATTAAATGTATCTAAATTAAACGCCTTCTTTTGCGCCAAGAATGAGACTATTTAAAGGATACTGAAAGATTTGCGATATTAAAGTTAAACTTATGTGCATTTAAAGAATCATAAAAGGTTGATGTTAGCTTTCGGATATTTCATTTGACAATTAAAGACGATTAAAGCTTTACTCAACCTTTAAGGTCGGCACATACGAGGGGACTAGTCCCTGCGACTAGTCCCAGCGACCAGTTTCATGCGACTAGTCCCTTCGTGTGAACTACACATTTCTGTGGTCGCAGGGACCAAAATTTGGTCCCTGGTTTGAATTCGTGCGACCAGTCGCAGGGACTTGTCGCATGAAACAAATGTTTTTCCCTTCGTGTGAACTGTTTGTGCGACCAGTCCCTGCGACTAAACGGTAAATAAGCCAATCACGGGTCAGTACCTAC